GAGAGACGAAATCGTCATCTTCTTCTGCTATTCTCTTTTGGTTCGCGAAATGCAGTTGGATTGGGTTATGGTTTTTCAGTGGGTTTTTGCTCTCATCTCCGGAATTTCGCGTTCATGTGATTTCCGCTGGTTGATTTTCTCTGTCGTTACTGTTACTCATCTTCTACAGCCTTGAGGTTATGTGAATTTTAGAAAGTTTCTGGAATTGGGTTTTGTCAATTTGCAGGTTTTTAGGGTTTCTGCACCACAAAGTAGAGTTCTTTTACTATGATGGACATATCTCACTATCTCTCTTATTGTTTGATTTCTTATTATTGTTCTGTTTTTAGGTTGCAACAATGTATTCCAGGAGAGAGATGGAAGATATGGAGTATAGGTACTATGGGGAGATGAAAAATGGCATCAGGAAGGTCAAGATCTCAGAGTCTCTCTACAGATGTCCCTTCTGCTACAGAGATCGGAAGCGCGATTACGGGTTTCAAGATTTGCTTCGTCATGCTTCTAACAATGGACGTAGCTCTTATAATAAGGATGGGAGAGATAACGCTAGACATCTCGCGCTGGAGCGATATATGAAGAAGTATCTCCGCCCTCTGGAAAGAAAAGATCCTGTTGCAGCGGTTGAATTGAAAGGCGTCGAGAAATCGAGTTCACCATGTGTTGTTAAAGCTGAACCAATGTCTGTTTCAGGAGATGATCATGGAAGAAGTGATAAAGAAAGACCAATGTTTTCTCCTAAACCCAACTCCTCTTTAAGCAACGAAGACAAAGCATACCCTGCAAAAAGAGTTTGCCTCTCTGCTGGTGATAAAGAAAGAGAAGAATCTGTCCAACAGATTGCTCCAAACTATCCTCATAGGCATGATTCTTTGGGTTCTGGTAATGGAGATCCGATGTTTGTGTATCCCTGGAAAGGGATCTTGGCGAACCTTAAAAGAACTTATAATGAAAAAAAAAGGAAGTTTGCTGGTGAGAGTGGAACCAAGATGAAGGAAGAATTGATCAGCAAAGGGTTTAATCCCCACAAAGTCGAGCCACTGTGGAATTACCGAATTGGTTTTACTGGTTTTGCTATTGTTCACTTTGGTAAAGAATGGGAAGCATTCAGAAACGTGACTATGTTTGAGAAACATTTTGAAGTCAAACAGTGTGGGAAGAGAGACTATGATGCAGCACGTGATCGAGGCGATGAAATTTATGGGTGGGTAGCCAAAAAGGAGGATTATTGTTCGAGAACCGTTATTGGTGACCACCTTCGAAGTAAAGGGGACTTGGTCACTGTTTCCGGGAAAGAAGCAGAAGAACAAAGGAAAGCATTGACGCTTGTCTCAAACCTGGAAAACACACTGGAGACGAAAAGCTCTAGCCTTCAACAAATGGAGAGCAAATACAAAGAAACCAGTACGGTGTTTGAGAAAAGATTGAGAGAGAAGGATGAAATGATCAACACACATAATGAAAGTATGTTCTCTTACAATGAAATGATTTCTTGCCTGATCGAGATGCTTGGTTTAGAATTCAGAATCTTATTACTTTTACTTTTCAATGAACAGAAATGAGTAGTATGCAGCAAACAGCTCGTGATTATTTGGCCGGTATATACAAAGAACATGAAAAGGCCTCTCTGAGTCTGGAAGCTGAAAGGAAATATTTTGAAGAGCGGGAGACTTATCTAGATAAGTGTCAAACACAAAATAAGACTGAGCGAAGAAAGCTTCAATGGCAAAAACAGAAGGTAACATTCACATCCTTTGTACAATACGCTTAAACTTTCTTGATCTTAGCAATGATTCGTGAAATCTTTTAATTCTTTGTCAGAACTTAATGGCTACTGAAGAGCAAAACAAAGCTGACAAAGAAATAGCGGACTTGGCAAAAAAGCATCAGGTAAGCTTTATTGCATGAAAACACTTTGATTTATGGTCATTGTAATTAAGCTGGCTGCTGTTTTATAGACAGAGAAAGATGAGTTACGTAAGAAAGTCCGTGAGCTGGAGGACCAAGTCGAAGCTGGGCAGGCATTGGAGCTGGAGATAGAGCGCATGAGGGGTGACCTGCAGGTTATGGGACACATGCAGGAAGGGGAAGATCCATATATAAAAGAAAAGATAGAAAAGACCAAGGAAGAGCTGAAGGCAAAAGAAGAGGATTATGAATACCAACAGTCGATCTATAATAACCTTGTTGTAAGGCATGGCTACACTAACGATGAGCTTCAGGATGCGCGCAAGGCTTTGATTAAAGTAAGCAGTTCTCAGCTACTTCCTCTCTCTCTCTTCCCTTCTTCCTAATACGGGTTTGTTCTTTGGATTTTCTGCTTCATGAATGTTTGTGTTGTTGATCTAGTGAGAGACTACGCTATTGCAGCATGTTTGTGCCCGGTACACTCAGATGATACTAGAAGTGATCTGCCTTTTATGTTGTGATACTTGGTTGTACTAACCAATGCTTAAACTATGTGCAGTCAATGCAAGAGTTGTCCATTCGTGGTAAGATCGGTGTGAAGAGAATGGGAGAGTTGGATGAGAAACCATTCCAAAAAGTAGCTAAAGAGAAATATTCAGCAGAAGAAGCTGATGAAAAAGCCGCAGAGCTTTGCTCCTTGTGGGATGACCACTTGAGAGACTCGGCTTGGCATCCGATCAAGGTCATCGAGGAAGACGGAAACCACAAGGTAACAACAATACATACACCTCTTGTTCTTTCTCTCTTAAACAATGCTCTTAGGTAATATGTATTAACTTCCTGCAATCTAAAAACATGAGAGAAATTTTGCAGGAGGTACTAAACGAAGAAGATGAGAAGCTGCAAGAACTGAGGAAAGAGTTGGGTGAAGAAGTTTTTGAAGCTGTGACACTAGCGCTGCGAGAAAGGAACGAGTACAATGGAAGCGGAAGGTACATAGTGCCTGAGTTCTGGAATTTCGAAGAAGGAAGAAAAGCGACTCTCAAAGAAGGAGTGGTTTATTTGCTCAAATTGTGGAAACAGAAGAAACCCAAGCCAAAGCGTAGATGATAAACAAACCAATAAGGGAAGAATCTCATTTCTAAAACTTAGTGATTGGATCTCCTCTTTTGTTGATATTATTAAGACCAAGTGAG